TGTACAGTTGAGGGGTTAATATATGTTTACCATATGAGGAAGCAGAGTGATAATTCAGGCAGAAGAAGGAGCAGGAGCAAAAGTGTGGGATGTTAATACAAAGGACGTGCAGTGTCTAGACCAAAAGCTAGATTCTGAAGGGCCTTCAGTTCCCTAAGAAGAATGTCTTATTTTACTCATCATGCAATAGAGAACTTTTTAGTCTTTAAAGTATGGGAGTGAACAAGAATATGATTTATTTTAGAATCATGGTTCTGTGGGGGAATGGAAGAACAAAAATAAGTAAATGGTTAGGATTAATTAAAATAATCTGAAGAATTCACATTGGCCAGGGGTTTGTTCTGTAGCATCCTACTAGAAAGTAAATCATACTATTAGGTATTTATAATTTAATTCAGAGTTAATTCTCCATGGTATTTTTATACTACAGCTGTTATTCCAAAGTACATGAACTTGAGAGATTTAAAATAAACTTAACAACCATTTAGATATTAATAGAACTGAAGTGATCCACTAGCCCTTTTTGGTATCAAGAGGATTTCACCCTACACACAGTGAAGACAGGACAAGGTGACAGTAAGAGTGAAAATGCACCTTTTTAAATTAGACTCAATTCTTTTTCATCAATCAAGAAAACTCTCCTTGAGCCATGGAAACAAATGACATTTCTAAAACTATAGCTTATTGAGAAAATCATTTCCTTTTTACTGAACTGTTGTTTATGTTCAGTCACCCTACCAGTCAGAGGTGGGATATGGGAGGTGGCAATGGGGTACCACAATGAACTACAGTGAAAGGCTTCTCTTCTCTTCTCTTCCCTTTTCTTGCAATCCCTCTCAAAAGCCAGGCTTCTTGTTTCCTTTGGAACTGGAGTCAGTTGAAGGATCCCCTAATAAACGGCATGTGGAAGAAAAGTGTTTAACAGCCCATCTATGTGAGGGTTCAAGAGAAAATTAAGCCAAAATGCCAGCCTAAGCTACATTGTATATAATGAAATAACTAATTTCTATGCAACCAGACTGGTATTGTTTACCATCTTTGGGAAAAATGAGAAAATAGCTATTAAAATTTCTATAAGGCTTAATTCTCTGGTAGAACCCAAGTGTTAGGTGAGAGGTCTGGAAGAATCACGCATTGTTCAAAGAAGAAGGAGAAAGACTATCAAATCTCATTTTACCTTAAGGATAAACCATTCAGATTCATATAAACAATAAGATTGGAATTTAGGGACATGCACACATTAAGACTATTTTCATTCTTTTATTATCCTATCTTACAACAACACCCTAGATGATAAAAGCCTGGAATATGCTAATTAGCCATATAATCAGTAACTAAAAATCAGCCTATGGGGAAAGATGTTCTAAAAACAGGAAATTTAGGAATCAGGCTAAAATATATCATCTGGTCTTAAATAAAACTTTAAGCAGCCATTTTTGTAACTCTGTGATTCTTTGAGAAGAAGCCTTTAGTTTCTGAAGTTAAACAATACCACCTGAAAACACAAATCCCTTCTCATTTCTGAGACCTCACTAACAGTAAAAAAATTTTAAAAGGGAAATTCTATCCATTGCTACAAGTCATCCTAGATACCCTATATGGCCCTCTTAATTAAATACTGATACAATATTTTTTTAAATAATACATTTGTAGAGCAGGTACAAAGTGAGGAATCCACAGAAGTCAAATGAAGAAATAAAAGGAAAACAAACAAAAAAGCTGGCTTCTCCTTAAGTTTCTGTAGATATGTTAATCTTCTCTTTTCATGTCTACCCAGGCTTGGAGGAAATAGAAAAAGTCACAGACCTGCTTAAAAGAGGCAAATTTCCTCCTCATTCCACCTCAAATAAAGCTGGGACCTCTAAGAACTTTATCATAGGCATAATGGTAAATGACAATAAATTCTCCTTCCAAAATGGTGTGATGTAGGTATCAAACTGTCTTGCCTTAGTGCTAGGTAAAGGAAAAAAAGATACTCTCCCTAAGAGTTCATAACTATAAACTACTACTCATGCTACCAGTGTGGTTTGAAAAACCTCAAGCAAATAATTTAAATAAAATGGTTAGCTGTGCTCCATACAGATGTAAATACAAATCCTCTCTAAAGGAACTCAACTTCAGTCCAGGCTTCAAAGAATTCCCACAAATAAAGTTTGAAAGAACATGAGCTCACAGTCAAAAATCCCAAAACACACAAGTACACAAAAGCAATCACTGAGAGATATCAAAAACAATAAACAGCAGAATCACATCTGCAAAGACTCTAGGTTATGGTATTACTAGACACAGAATATAAAGTAACTATGTCTGATATGTTTAAATGAATTTTTTTAAAAGCTTTAAAATGTGAATAGGAAACCAAGAGATTTAGAAATAACCAAAAAGATCAAGGAAAGAACCAAATAACTCTTTCAGATACTAAAAATATGGTCTACCTAGGATGTGGAAAGTAAGCAGAAAGTAGCTCCTTCTCTAACAATGAGAACAATCCAGATAACCTATAAAAGTCATCATGCTTAAGCCCCTCAGACAGCCGAGGTCACATGGTAACCTAATGAACTAAAATCCAAAAAGATGGCAATGCCTTCCAAGGAGAACGGAGCCCCTGACTGTTTTCTCTTTGGCAGAGTAGTAGAAATAGGAGGCAGCCACTACAGAAGTGTGCAAGAAGAAATCATGTGTGATGTTCATAAACTGTTAAAGGACAAAACCGGGCTGGTGAAAACGCCTGGGAGCCTAGACGCCCAGGGAGTTTGCGCCCATCCACGAACTCTTTTCCACCGATCTCCCCTGGACATTCATGAAAAGGATGGGGGGCAGGAGAGGACAGCGGAAAGATTGCCTCCAGGGCAAAGACCTACAAGAGCTGCCAAAGAGTGAGGGTCAAGAGAAGAATGAGAGCAAACCTCCCTTGCTCTACTCTCCACCTGAGTAAGTGACATGTGCCGGGTGAGGGAAGGAAAGCCTGCTGTGCTCATCCGAGCAGAGGCACCATCTCTCGATATGATTTAACATCACTGCTCTTTTTTAATTGTAAGAAATCTGTTTTGATCTAAAGTTGTTTTTACTACTTTCAGCAGTTCCTCAAATATAGGGAAAAGCAAATAACAGTATCTAACAATCTTGAGGCTGCTTTGTGGACAAATGTGTAGAGTAACTCTATGAAACATAAAAGTAGTTCATTGATTCTCAACTGAGTTTGGTTACTTGGTTATCTAACAGTTTTTGGGCAAGAATGAGAATCTTTTTCTAGGGTAAGCATGAGCACTCCACAGAGAAGCATGATATAAATGGGCCATTTCACCTGGAGGCAGAAGAGACAGCTCTTAGTTATGTCACATCATGGCCCTCCACAGGTACCACCAAAAAAAAAATCTCCCCCAATTTTCAAAGACTTTTAGACAGCAGAAACTAACCTAGCTCCCTTAAATAAGTAAATGAGAAAGAAATTTAGAATGCAAAATACCTGTACGAGATATAATGATATTGAGAGGATTTTATTCTTAGATATGAGCTAATGATCTATCAAGAGTAGGTTATAACTACAACCATATATGGAAGGAAATGGAGAAGTGGATGTCTGAAAAGGGAGGGAGGATAGTTTAATTTTATAACCTCAGAAATTTGTTACAAATTATAACCAAAAAGTAACCATGAAAAGTGCAGTTTTCATATGGATTTTCTGTTTCTGGTTCAGTAAATACTAATCAATATTTGCCTCCACTGATGCATTTCTTAAGACACCTTAATTTATTCAACAAATAGTTATTGAGCTACTATGAGGTACCAGGCACTGTTCTGGTCATTTAGGATATATCTTCACAGAATGAAGATCCCTGTCCACATGGAGCTCAGAAAGAAGCTGAAGAAAGATAGACAATAAGTAGTAAACTAGGTAAATGAGTAAATTATTTAATATATTTGGAGGTAAATGCTATGGCCAAAAGAAGGGGCAAGGGGGATGAGAGATCAGAAATGAAGAGGGTTGATGTTATAGTATTAAACTTGATGGTAGGCATAGACAACACTGAGAAAGCCAGAGAAGAGTAAATATAGGAAGGAAAGAAGCCTGCAGGAACAGCATGCCTGCAGAGGGAACAGCTGGTATACCAGGTGTATTAATGGAGAATGAAAGAGATCAGTATGACTAGAAGGGAGCAAGAGAGATGTAAAGTAGTAGAAAGGAAGCTATCTCCTTATATTCACTTTCATTCCCACTCCCAAGCTATTAAATCTCAAGGAATGAAATCATAAATTGAGGGACTCAACTTTTACATTAATTGCCCAATCTCAGATGCTTTCATCCAGCCCTAGTTATTTTCCCCCTTCCCTAAATATTTCCCACAACACAACTTCCAACTCAGTTCTTGGAAGTGGTGGCCATCCTGCCCCCTTCACTCTCCACAGATGCCTCGACTCCTACTTTGGCCAGAGAAGAGAGAAGACACTGTCTGAACTACCTACTATGCAACTCCTCTCCTTCCCACCTGCTCAAAGGAAGAATGCCTCCTCCTACTCAAGGCCAGTCTCTGCACCTTGCTATTTGTCCCTCTCTTAGTGATTCCTTCTGAATCTCCTTCTCTGATGTCTCCTTCTTTAATGTAGATGTCTCTTCTTGATCTACATTCTCCTCGAGCAATTTCATTCATAACATTGCCTTAAGTTTCCATGTGTACTTTGATGTATTTCTACACCCCTACTTCTGACTTGCTCCTGAGAGATTTAAACAGAAATTTCCAACTTTATACTAGATGTGATTGTTCTGATGGTACATCAAATGCAATGGTTCAAAAATCAATCATAACTCTACCCCTAAATATATTCTTCCTCTGCTTCCTGTCTCAACTGATGGATCATTATTCTCACAGTCACCTGGACCTTACAGTTACCTAACTTTTCTTTTTTCTTTATCTCCTACTTATAATCAGTCAAATTCTATACATTCTCTTTGTTTTAGTGTCTGTCATGCCAAGGCCCACTCAATACCCTTCACCAAATACCTGCATTCACAGTTCTCACCAGCCACACTCATTCAAGATGAATATCAAATCACGAACATCCTCTTTGTGGAGAGTAGGCTAAGTCACATTTGCCATGTCCATCCTTTTTGATAAATGAAGTTCTGGATTTTTTGTTTTGTTATGTTTTTCACTGGCAGTTACCTAGTAAGATAAGTGCTCTATGTAAATTCATCTTAAAACCACAACATAACAGAGTATTTCACAAGGGGAAGCACTTCAGCTGAGACTGGAGGAAAAAAAGTAAAAATTTGAATGGCAAATAAAAGAGTTGAGAGAGATTACAGAAAGAGAACAGCATTGGGGAATATGAAATTTTCAGACAAAGTCTGGAGTTTAAGGTGTCATGGGTAAGAAAGTGATAAAAAGTAGGCAAGATCCAGATTCTATATCTACCAGGGAGCCACTGAAGAGTTTTTAATGAAGGAGTATCCTAAGAAATATAAAAGATAGGAAGACCCCCAGTGAATGTTGGTGGAAGGACTTAGCTTTTGTTTTTAAACCCTCACAGAACCTAATACAGTACGTTCAAAGAATGTGTAAAAGTCATAAATGAATTGTATTACACTGAAGTAATGATAGACACTCTGTAGAGAGCAATGAATGGCTGTGCTGTGTGCAAAGTATAATTCTGAGCTGTCTAATTTGAAAGGGGATATATCAGGCTGTTGTGAACTTGAGACCAGCCTTATGAGCCCCACTATCCCCATTTGAAGGCTGCTGGTTGCCATGGTTACAATTGCATGGATAGGCTTATTTATAGCTATATACTATCTTTAGTAAAATCCACAACAGATGAGAGAAAAACTCAACTGTGAAGCCATCTAAGTGTATTGGAAGCACTTAGGAAGAGCAATAGAATTAAATATATACCAGAGAATTTTAAAAAACACTATGAAGAGCCCCATTTTAAACACCTGCTTTGTGAACAATGAACAATGTTCTAAGTTGAAAAAATAAACCCAGGCTTTTACATGCCTCTGCTAGCTCCACCTTTATAATTTGCAAGCATAAGTTCCAGGATTGGTCTTGGAAATTAAACAAATAAATAAATGAAACATTTTTACCACCAATCATATGTAAGATACCTATAGATACTGTTATTACAATAACAACATGAGATAGATGCTATTTTTATCTCTATTTGCACATTAGGAAACTGAAGTACAACTAGGTTAAGAGTTTTCCAGTGCCACATAGTTAGTAAAGACCAAAGCCGGGCGAGGGTGCTTCCACTGATCTTAATCTCCATGATACACTGACTTGTCTAAATATGCACAACAAAAAGATACGGGCACCTGAACTCACAGGGTTGTTCTGTCAAAAAGCCATATTTACTTCAATTTAAAGTGAAAACAAATCTAAAACAATTATTTGTTAATGGAGAATTCTGAGAATTATCCTGCAAAACCACATATACTGAAACCTGAAACCTCAAGCAGAACAAACTAGGGCCGTCCTACTCCCATTTTGAAAAAAGCTGCAGCAGGATTCTTATAGAAGGAAAATTTCTCTGTTTCATAACAAATTAAATACAATTCACAGAAAGTTGCTTGTGTGCACACACACAAATTTTTGGAACACATCTGTAATGTATCACAAAGTAAACCAGAAGTCTTTTTAAGAAAAGGAATGGCAATTGACAGCCCCTGAGTGTTTTGTTTCACAAGTACTGAGGCAGGTATTACTGATGGACCCCAATTAACAGATGAAAATCCTGAGGCTCACACTGGATGAAAACTTCCTGAAGCACACATCCATAGTAGGCAGAAGAGCTGGACCTAAAAACTAGGTCCTTCCAACGCTAAAGCCTGGGGATTTTCCCCTTTGCTTTCCTGTGTTATGTTGACTTAAAGAGAACCAAAATTTGACTAGCTTCTAACAGAGGCTCTCCCCAAGACCAAGGAAACTCTTTGAGCACCCAGAGCTTGTGTAGGAGGTAGAATTTGCCTGGACAGGTTCTAATTCAATGCAAGAATTTCTCACTTTTTGGACAAGTGTATCATGATAACATGACATGTGGAAATAAGACAGTGACTTCGGTAGAAATACTCATACAACTTGTAAATGGCCTTCATGGAGAGAGGCTTAAATTAAAGTAATATGGTAAAGGTTTGAGATTCATATTGTTGATAGTGATTGTATAATCCAAGAGTACTATAATATTTGTTCATTCTTTGATCAAATAAATACTGACTAAGTATGTACACTACCTATCACTGTGGTGGATTCTGGGAATACAGTGGTGAATAAGACAATCATATATTATAATTTCGAATGTTGGTGAAAGTGCAATCTTAGATCCACAAAACATTCAGGATATTCGTTCATTCCAACAAACTTTATCAAGTGCCTACTATGTGCCAGATAGCATAGGAGTTACTAAGGACACAAAGTTGAATGATTGACATAGCAGGAAGCAACGTTAGAGACCAACCATATGACAGATGACTAAACTGAAAGTACCAAAAGCCTACGTACTGTGTCCAAGATCACACAGCAAAATGGGAGTTAAGACCAAGGGTTCATAACTGTATCTTTGATCCTTGTACATTTTTTAAGGGCTCAAAACGCTGAGAGGCCTCCTGCCATCTCTGATACTTCAAGATATGACATAATTGATATATGTTGTCTTTGCTCCTAAATAAGGAGAGATGCTAGAAAAGGGTAAGATCACATCTGCCGTAAGTACATAGGTGCCACAACCCCAATAACAAAGACTTATCTGGCCCAAAATGTCAAGAATGCCAAAGTTGAAAAACTCTGATTTAACTTATCTGTTTTGATTTTGTTTAAAAAGCTATCGAATATGTATAAAATAAAGAGTATCTTCTCTGCTTGAAATAAGAGTTTACATAAGGCATTTGAAGTCACTCAGGAAAAAAAAGAGAGAGAGAGAGATTATCTTCAAATACTGAAAACCGGGGAGAGAATCTTGGAAGGTATACATCACCAATACCAGTTTTGATGAAAAGTTCATATCCAAATGGACCATGATCATAGCTTAAGACAGGTCTTGACCTGACCTGCACATCTAATTCATTTCTTAGTCTGTATACTTACCAAGTAATTCTCAGACCTCCATTTGGTTTCATATGTAGATTATTTCAAAGAGAAAAAGCTCCACTTGCTAAGTAGCAAAAACCATCAAATTGGTGGTCTATTTGGATTTCAGGTAAAAAAGCACTCCCATTTGGTTTTAAGCCAAATGTAGGCAGTCTCAAACCCTGGTCAGTGAAGGCCCAGGTCTATAGAATATTAAGTTCAGACACATAACTAGAGTCCACACCAGCTTTTACCTGCTTCCTACTGCAGCCACTATCTGTCACCATTTCTGCCTTCTATTTCAAATATCTAAATATCTAAATTAAAATATTGAGGCCCTGGCTTTGGAGATTTAGGTTTTTTATAATGATGTGAACTGAATTAATTCCCTAGAAATACCTGAGAGTAGACATGAATGTAGTAAGTAACTCTTTCTGGTGGTAACAAAATATTCAATTAAAATATTTACTAAATGGACTCTGCCTCAAAATTTCCTCTGATCAAAAATAACAGAAACAAAGGGATTCAAGACAAGCAAATTGGTAAAGCTTGAAACATTTTTCAGGCAATTTCAGAAAGGAAAGGAGAAAGAAAGTGTTGTAATACTGATGTAAGATCAAAACTAAAATTTGAAGCCCTGAAAGGGAAAAGATGGTCTTTTTGTACTGACCAAAGATTCAAACTATGTTAAACATTTATGCATTAAGTAGCATAGCATGGAAAATATCATAGCTAGTATTTATTGAGTGTTTATTGCTTTCATTTTAACTTTCCCAACAACCCAATGAGGTAAGTATTGTTAAAGAGTGAGAACAGGGCTCAATATTAGAAATAAAAAGGCACAAAGCCAATTTTGTTGCTTATCTAAATAAGGAACAGCAATTCTGGTCAGGTACAACCTCTCCAAGCTGCTGATATGAGGAGAAAATTATATATCCATAATAAAACTTTACATACCAAATAATGCTATCTTAAAATGTTTTTAAAGGAAAATCTGTTGGAAACATATTGAGAAATTGACAAAGGCACTAGTGAGAGACTTCCACAGATCAAGCAAACAAAAAATAAGCAAAGATATAGACAAGCTGAGTATTATAATTAATCAGGTTTATCTAGATGCCCTGGTAAGTTTTGAGTAGAGTCTGAATCACCTTTATTTAGAATATGGTCTCTTTTCTCCCTTAGAAGGCCTGGACATTCCCCAGTTAAATGATAAATTTGGTCCTAACTATGGGTCTGGTAGCCAGGAGTACAGTGCACAGAGAGGAGAGCTATGTCTTTATAGGGACAGGTACTGACCTGCCAGGCAGCGGCCTCCACCTTGTCTTTTAACAAGAATGATCATCAGCAATAACAGACAGGAGTGGATCACTTATGCAGGCCCAGAGAGTACAGTGGGATCTGGGTTTCAAATGTATAGGTGCAATGATCCATCTGTTCTCATTCTAAATCTCAGAGCCACACGCCTTTCCAATCAGGCCCCTGACTTTGGCACAGCCAGGTTCTTACAGCAGATGATTCAAATGTCTCTGGAGTTCTGCCACTCTTACAATTAAGTCTTATATCTGATTCTCAGATTTTTCTACTCATCCAGCTACAAGAGACAAGAGTCTCGAAATACTGCTAACAGGCTCTCTGGTTTTCTTCTTTTGCCTTAATCATCCTTCAGCCTTTCATTATCTTCTCCAATGCATGAATATTATCCAGCAATAGACATCCAATTCATAATTCTCATAACAACCACTTCTCTTGTAATTCTCAAATGCCTGATATATTGCACCATACAAGGCATTCCCTTCCAATATTAGCCCATCGCACTTTACCACTAGTGAGAAATTTTAAAAATTGCAGAATTTCAGCATGACAGAGACTATTAATACTCTACCCACCACAGGCAATGAGGTCATCTAGCTCCAAAATTGCATTATAAAGTCAACTCCCTAAAGCCACTTCTTGTACCATCATAGTTTTGCTTTCCTGGAAACACAGTCTGGAGTGAAGATTTGCATTTAGGTTTATTGGAGAGAGAGATC